CCTTTAACAAAAAATACTCTGTGCCCTCCTGGAAATCTACTTTTCTTTAACCTTTTTTATTTTTTTGAAAGTTGTCACTTCAAAAAATAAAAAAAAATTAGGCATCTTTAATTCATTGTAAATTTGTGGGTTTTTTCCTGCTTGAAATTTTGATGAAGCTATATTTCACCATGTAACCATATAGTATCATTATTATAAACAAGTCATCACATGCATGTATTCCTGATGTCATGGACTTCCCTACAATGCTGTGCAATACCCTCACCTGCCAGCACTTGCTTGTTAAGACTTGTCACTGAACTTGACCACTAAGGTTATAACCAGCATTTTGTCTATTTGGAAAATAGTCACCATGACTTTAACTGTTACACAACAGATGGTAACACATATGAACAGCTTTTCAAAATTTTCTCTTCTTTCCTTATGCTTTCACTGCCCCCTTTTTGTACCTGAGGTTACTACCACTCCCCCCCCCCATTGTTCCAGACCCACATTGGGAACCTATGCTCTTAACTCCACTATAAATCCCTTTGTGATTCTTTAACTCTTGTCCACTAATTAGTGACTTTATACTTAATTGTATTTCCTTCAAACTCAACCTTTTTAGCTCAGTGACCTCATTCCTGAGATTAAGACATTTTACTAAAAAGATTTATACTATATAAGTGGGGTCCAGTGACCCAGCAGTAGGCCTACACTGTCCAGAGGCTCTTCGATGAGTCAGATGCCAGAGCTGTCATATGCTATTTATTCCAACCACTGCCCTTCTGTACCTATTTAAAATGGTGATGACATATACCATGTAACAATCTTATCCAACTACTTGCTCAATCCATAAACCTGCCCTTAGGTTCAACAAGCTGAGTCTACTGGGCACCAAAACCAGTTTGGGAGGTAATGAAGAATCTATTCTAAAATTCTGAAAGTATCCTACAGGAATAGAATTACGGGCTCATTCCAGGTAGTGTTTATTCCCTTATAACATGTAAGTTTGTAAAAGCTATTACAAAAAAAGGGAATATATGCAAAGTCACATTTCTGAAAACCAGTTTTATTTAAATAAGAGTTTAAATACATTACATAACATTTAAACTAAAAAAAAAAAAGAAAAAAAACCAAAACCAAACCAGTCTGTTACTTCACATGGCATTGGGCAGCTGTTGCTAGTAATNCAGTTTTATTTAAATAAGAGTTTAAATACATTACATAACATTTAAACTAAAAAAAAAAAAAGAAAAAAAAACAAAACCAAACCAGTCTGTTACTTCACATGGCATTGGGCAGCTGTTGCTAGTAAA